CACTTACCACCTTTTAGCTTTTTGGTAACTTTTTGAGACCAAGTCGCCCTCGGTAAAGCGCTGTGGCATCGCAGCTCACAGCAACCTCCAGCTCTTGAGCTTAAGCAATTCTCTTGCCTCAGCCTCCCAAGTAGCTGGAACTACAAGCACCTGCCACAGCACTCAGCTTGTTGTTGTTGTTGCAGTTGTCATTGTTGTTTAGCTGGCCTGCTCCAGGTTCAAAGTCACCTGTCCTGGTGCATGTAGCTGGCGCCCTAACCACTGAGCAACTGGTGCTGAGCCCTCTGTTTTATTAGTGTTTTTATTTGTTTTATTATTTGGTTTTCTTTTTTGCCAAAAAACTTATGCTTTTAGTCATAGATCTTTATATCTTAATTTTTCATATTTTAGTTAAAAAACCTAGCACATCGTAAGATTATTTTATCTACCATGTAGCTAGAATGAGAAATCCCCAATTGTTGAGGGTTTTTTTTTAAGTTGGTTAAAGTCAGCAGAGTTTCTGTTGAATTAAAACTTTGAACAGAAACTCTGAAACTATAAATTTTAGAACCTGTGTTTAATATTAAAGTGAATAGCCAGAATTTTAAGAGGATTCAGGGGTTTATTTGAGTTTTCATGGTATTATTACCAGAAAATTTTTGCTTTCACCCTTGTTTAAAATTTTCTCAAGTAGAATGCACCTTAATTTTTTACATATGTAGTTTAAGACTCAGTCCAATTTTTATTCTGCTTGTCCCTGATCACTGGAGAGCTTTGTTAGTTAGGCCTAGGTTACAAGGCTCGGCTGTTTTTTGAGATGAAGTCTCACTCTGGCTCAGGCTGGTCTTGAATCTGTGAACTCAGGCAGTCCACCCACATCAATCTCCCAGAGTACTGGGATTACAGGTGTGAGCCACCACACTGGCTCAGTAATTTTTTTTTTTTTTTTGAGACTAGTAAAATGCAGTAGTTAGAAGGGAGGGCAAAATACTAAATACTTTTTTAAAAATTAAAATGTTTAAAGGCAGTGCCTGGGCCTCAAGGAGTAGGTTGCCAGCCCCATATACTGGAGATGGTGGGTTCAAACCTAGGTCCAGCCAAAAATAAAAAAATTTAAAATTAAACAATCTAGGAGGCAGAGGCGAGGAATGCTTAAAGATCAACTGAGATGAGCTTGAACAAGAACAAGACCCCATCTTCCCAAAAAGAAAAATGAGCCGGGTGTGGTGGTAGGCACCTGTAGTCCCCGCTGCTTGGGAGGCTGAGACAAGAGGATCACTTGAGCACAGGATTGGAAATTTAGTGCAGGGAGCTATGATAAGGCCACTCTACTCCAGCCTGAATGACAGAGCAAGACCCTATTTAAAAAATAAAATTTCTGGCTCGGGGCCTGTAGCTCAAGTGGCTAAGGCACCAGCTACATACACCAGAGCTGGTGGGTTCTAATCCAGCCTGGGCCCACCAAACAACAGTGACAACTATAACCAAAAAAAATAGCCAGACGTTGTGGTGGGCACCTGTAGTCACAGCTGCTTGGGAGGCTGAGGCAAGAGGATCGCTTAAGCCCAAGAGTTTGAGGTTGCTGTGAGCTGTGATGCCTAGGTACTCTACCCAGGACAACAGTTTGAGACTCTGTCTCAAAAAAATAAATAAATAATAAAATTTCTATAAGGAGGTCATCTTGTGACCTTTAATGCTCTTCCATTTACTCTGCCAAAACTAACAGATTCAAGAAGTTTTTTACAGAATTAACTTTTTGATGATTAGAGAATAAATGTAGGTTCGTTGTAGATAATTTAGGTATGAAAAGCATAAATTAGGAAAGATATATCACTAAGAATCCTTGCAACATAGGTTGTATTATCTACAAATTTATATCTTTTTCTACTTAATTTACCTCATGTATTTTTCTATTACATCAAAATCTTCCCTAACATTTTAGTAGCTTTCAGTCAATGAATCCCCAACAATTTAAAAAAAA